CTCCGCCACTCTTAGCTAGCACTCCGCCACTCTTAGCTAGCACTCCGTCACTCTTAGCTAGCACTCGGCCTATTTTTACCTTTTAGTTAGAATTTTGCTACTTTTATCTTTTGATGTTTTGCTACTTTTGGCTTTTAATTAGCGTTTTGGCATTTTCTGATGCTTTTAGCGACCATCAGCTTTCAGACAAAATGTTGCTACTTAGTTTTCAGCTCAGTTTTTTCTGCAATTTTCAGCACCAGCATCCAGCACTCGGCATTTTCACAGAAAATGTTTCTCTGGCATCCATTTGAATGACTACGGCGATAAATCCACAATGACACAAGTGAAACAGAGCTTCACTTTTTCACCCTTTTTTCACAGAACACAGGAAAAAAGCAACAATGAAAGGGACAACTGAGACAAAGGGAGAAAAGAAGACATTTGACAAGCCTATACTAATTAGCAGAAAAATATGTAGGCAGAGTATGGCAGAGGCAGGATGAATGAGGCCTTTGTAAAAACAGGGAGTGAAGGGAACAGGAGGAGGAGGGGAGATTAGGTCGGCCTGTCTACTGACTGGACCACATGTTCTCATGGCCTGCTTGCTATTCAGCTCTTTCCACACTTTGTCTGCTCTGAGAAGAACTGGAGCTTCAACTGTTCAGAATTATACACCAGATTGACTTGAAGTTGTTCTCATATACTGAAAATCCTCCTGTGAATTCACATTGCATCTGCTTCTCATCTAGTTTCAGTACACACAAATTTACCTTAAAGTTATACTAGTTTGTTTTCTCTTTTTAAGTGTTGTTGTCATAATGCATATCACCATTTTAGTGCATCCACCTTTATTGCAGCAGTTGCACACCAGAGGTCATTATTGTGCGGTAAACTCCAGCTTATCTGCAGGTCTGTATGAGTCATTACCATGTGAGGAGGGTTAAGCCAAGAGACAAGCTCTCTGTTTTTATAACTTGCATAATTCGCCTCTCAGCAGAGCTCCAGTTTAAACTGTGGAGCACACAGACACATCCAAGACAGACTGGTTTTCAGCAGGCTGACCGTACTCTGGTTACTTCACAGAGGAAATACCTGGAGACAATAAATGACTAACCTGTTGAGGAATGGGTCAGAGCTGTTGGCAGTCATGGTCCGAGCATCCTGGGCCAAAGGGGAGGACACAGGGTTAGTGCCGCCATCTTGATCCATACTGGTGGGAAGCTGGTTCCTCAAAGCAAGCTCCTGCGAATGAGTAACGAAATCCGAAATATCTCATGAGCTACCAGATGGATTAAAAATGTGCAGAAAACAATTAGATAAAGATCTACAACTGATTACATTTTGGAGTCAATTCTATTCAAGATGGCCGCCACACCCAACAAACTTAAGGAACTCAAAAATGGCTAAAACGCTGCCAATTTGACACATATAAAACTAAAACTTAGGGGAAGAAGCTGAGAGTCCTTCACATCATATACCATAATTTCCGGACTATTGGGTGCACCCACGAAATAAAAAAAGTAATAATAATTTTGTACATATATAGGCCGTACTTGTCTATAAGCCACAGGTGTACACGTAGTAATACGAGATATTAACACAGAAATATATATATTTTTTACTTTTAATTAAATATGATTTTTGGGATTTATTTGTAACTGATTTACGAGATCCCCCCCTTCCCGTTTCATTGACAGGTAGCATATTCCTCCCTCTAGTGTTTAACAAATGAAATAACACCAACAACATAAAATGGCTCTAACAGGTCCACTGTGACCTGTTTGGTAATTTCATCAGTCAGACTTTTTTAAAAACCTTTATTTATACAGGTAGTCTCAAAGTCATGAGGACCCCCAAGAGCGACGTGTATTGGGCAGCTATGTGAGTGCCCGGGTGTGATGAGGCTAAGGGCGTTTTCACACCTGATAGTCCGGTAGACTCGGTTCCATTGGGGACCAATAATCAGAACATTTGTTTACATTTTCAGCTGGTGCAGTTCGCATTCACACTGCACTGAGTCACTCAAGCCAACCTGTTCCCCCCCCTCGCCTGTGGTGGCGCTGCTTCAAGAACTACTGAAGGAAACGACACAAAAACCTCAGAAGAAGACACTTCTTGAAATAAAAACAAAGACAGAGTGGCGTCAAATTTGAGCGGTTTTAGGATTTCTGTCATTTTTCAACAATGGACTCATCATGAGCGGAAGATGAAGCAGAAGATCATGGAGAATGTTGTTTTTCACACAAGGCGACTGAGGGCTCCGTATGAGGTAAGAGAAATGCTCCTTTGTTTGCCCTGCGCTGTAGTCCACTTCCTGCTTTCGGAGCAGTCTCCAGTCTGCTTGCAATCACAATGCATTCGAACCGCACCAGAGTTCACTTCAACCAAACCGAAACCTAGGTTTTTAGGACCAGAGTTTGCTTTTTTGGTCCATATCAGAGTTCGATTACACACTCACACCTCCCCAAACGAACCGGACTTTCTACGCAAACGGACTAGAGTTTGATTAAAGCGGACTAAACAGGGCTGGTGTGATGCACCCTAAATGTTTTGGCAGCAGGAAGCTCGTTAGCCCGTCCAAAAAAACCCCAAAAAAATCCATAAGATTAACCACAGCATTGTATAAGCTGCAGTTTTCAAAGCCTGTAAAAAAAAGTAGCGGCTTATAGTCCAGAAATTACGGTATTCACTACACACAATCTTTTGCTTTAACTGTTAGCGTTAACCCTATTGGTCTGTTAGAAAAATACCTTATTCATGACGGGACCAGTTTTAATAAAACTATAAGAACGTAATCATTGGATGTTCATCGACAAGTCATTTTATTAGGAGTCAACCCAATTCAAGATGGCTGCTACAGCTAATATTCCATTGCCTACACAAAAAAGGGTCAAGTCTATGTGGTAGATTCAAAGAGTTATCCTCAACACATGCGGCCAACATTAAAATATCTCACAAGATGTTGCTGTGGCAGCCATGTGGAAATAAAACTACCACCTATATTCATTCCTTCACGAAATGCAAAGCCTTTAATTAAGCATGATTCAGCTGCCTGACACCTCTACTGTCATGGTGTGAAACTAAAAGACGTGCTGTACCAATGTGTTGCCCATCACGTTTACTTGTTTGAAGTTTCACGTTACGCAAGACGCTGCCTGCAGCCGAAAACAATTGTTTTCTGTGCTGTATCAGATTAGGTTGGAGGATGTGAAGTCATAGGATTTTTTTTTTTGTCCTTCCTCAAAACGCCATCATTAGGACACTGACATAAAATGACTTGTCACAATTTTAAAGCTTCATTTCAACTTTCATCAGGTCATAAAATCTTAGTACCAAAGCAAAGTTGCCTCATCTTCAAGCATCTGGCCATTTAGCTGAAAAACTGGTTCTGCCTTAACCGGAAGTCACAGATGTGTCAAACTAGACCTAATTGTCACGTCAAAGCACAGGATGTTGCTGGCCGTGTTTCTGGTATCATCGTCATCCTGTTCCAAGAGGTTTTTCCACCGTTTAACTGACAATGCTTTTATTTTCCCTAGTGGGAGACTCAAGTTTAATTTCCCATTTGCCACCGGAAGTTGCATTTCCTATTTGGAGAAGAAGGTAAGATTAGTGGCAGCCGACACTGCCTTGACCAGAATGGTTTGTTTAACAGATTCAACTGGTAAGACATCCAAGGAAACTAGAAACAGGCAGAAGCTTCAAAACAGCATTTAGCATAAGATGGCTTGAAGCGTTTGAAGCCCAACAAAGTTGTCAGGTCCTCTGGATGGTTTCTTTCTGTTGAAACGTCTCGTCTTTCATCCAAAAGACTTCATCAGTCCAAGACGCCACAACAAACTCAGTCCCATAAGCAGCACACTCACATAGTGGGCCAACCAGTTTGATGATGATAAGATGGTTTCTGGAGTTCGCCCTCTCCCCCCGTTGACTCAACTGAGGCAGCCAGGGCCAAAGTGAACTTTGAACCACTTTGGCCCTGGCTGCCTCAGATGAGTCGACGGGGGAGAGAGCGGACTCCAGAAACAAGGGATGCACGATTTTGGATTTTTCACCGATATCCATTATGTTAAAACTTATTTGACCGATCACCAATACTGATATTTTATATACCTTGTCAGAACATAGCCCTCTTATTTAGGCTTATTTGCTACAAAAATTGTGCTACAGCTGTAAGAGCTGGTGACATATATTCAGTAACAGTCACGTGATATGCATAACACATTATATTAAATGAAAAGTGTTAAATGTTATTTATTAGCATTAATCACCTGTGATGCTGTCTCGCTTGTGGAGGCTTGTTCCAGGTTCCTAGCTGCAGTGTGGGATCCTCTGCACTCTTGTGCATGAAGGACAGACTTTTTAAGTTCAAAGTTTTTGCCTATCCATTGTGCTGTAAGATTAATCATGCTAACGGGGCTAACACGACATCCAAATGTCTGTGGTAAAACTCACCCAAGTGCTATCGGCTATTAGCTTCTCAATGACGTTGGAAATGACGGCTTGTAACTCGGGTAAGGCTACGTTGGAAAAATATATCTGACTGGGGACGATGTAGCGAGGCTCAACGTGGTCTAAAAATCTTCTGAATCCAATATCCTCAATGGAAAAAAAACAAAACTTCCACATCGCCGACGTTTTGATTTCTTCCTCTCCGCCGTGATAAGATCAGGTAGGCGCACGTGACGTCATCACGTGCTGGCGCTGCAGGCATCCTTGTCACTGGGTTGTCATACAAAAACAGAGTCTTTTATATTGGTGAGTTATTTTGATGGAATGGCCGATGTCCGATATTTAACTTTAACGCTAATATCGGCTGATACCGATACCATGCCGATAATATTGTGCATTCCTACCAGAAACCATCTTATCACCATCAAACTGGTTGGCCCACTTTGCGAGTGTGCTATTTATGGGACTGAGTTTGTTGTGGCTCCTCGGACTGATGAAGTCTTTTGGATGAAAGACGAAACGTTTCAACATAAAGAAACCGTCTAGAGGACCTGATTTAACTTTGTTGGATTTTTTTTACCTGGATTATTGAGCGTGAACTTTTGATGTTTGTTTGAAGCCAACCAGTAACCAAATGGATACCATTGTTGATGAAAATCCAAAACCTAGTGAACTGCGTAAAACTCTGTTTGGTCCGACTTTGTGTGCTACAACAGACAACATGGACTCGTTTATGAGCCCATAAATCAGAAAAAGAATTTTGTTGCTTCTCAAAGAACAAAAAGGTAAAACAAAAAGACAGTGCCATCACAACTCACTCCAACTTTCCCTACTAGCCAATAATCCTACCTAACGTGCATTCTGTTCCTGACATTATTAACAGCCTTGTCTCTACATTTAAATTTAGGAGCATATTTTTAAAACACCAAGTGAATAATTCAGCAAATCGAACTTGGTAGCAGCTGCTTTCTGACGTTTGAGCATCAGATACCCGAGCTCTGACTTCATCAGTTTTGTGGTACAATGAATGGCGCCAAATTCACATTTTTATATTAAACAGTAATTCAATATCATAACTGATGTGTTTTGATATTTGTTTCGGGAAAGGAATTGACATATTAAAAAAAAAAAGTCCACTAATTAAAATCTGTGAATTCAAAGTATTATTTTACATCCTCCTTTAATACATAGAAGAAATCTCTTAGAGTAAAATACAATAGCAGAAAGATGCTGAAATGTTCTGAGGGCGGCACAGTGGCTCAGTTGGTAGAGCTGCTGCCTTTCAGCGAGCAGGTCACAGGTTCAAATCCCGGTCAGGGGCCTTTCTGGGTGGAGTTTAAATGGTCTCTCTGTGCATGTGTGGGTTTTCTCCGGGTACTCCGGTTTTCTCCCACAGACCAAAAACGTGCATGTTAGGTTGATTGGTAACTCTATATTGTCCCTAGGTGTGAGTGAGAGAGCGAAAGGGTGTTTGTCTCGTTTGTCTCTATGTGTCCCTGTTGTGACATGTTCAGGGTGTCCCCCGCCTCTCACGCAGTGATGGTTGATATGGGCACCAGTGACCCCAGTGACCCAGAAAGGAAGAAGTGTGTGAAGATAATGGATGGATGGTTTATTCTGAAATAATTATAAAGAGGAAACTATGGTTGTAAGTGTCCAATATTTTGAAGGAAAATATAATAATTACTGAAATTCGAAGACCGTTTGTGCTGGTTGTACTAATGGTGAAAATTACTTTTTCAAATAAAATTTTTTTTGAAAAAAAAAAAAACTTCTCTTAGCATCAATACGCACAATAACAGTGTTACAAAGGACAAAAGCCAGTACAAGGCAGGCTAATATTTCCAAGTGCCATTTATCATCAGGGTGTAAATAATAAATTTGTCCAATCAGATGGACTCTCATTGCCCTGGAGACTGAGATCCCAAAGCACACAGAGAATAATGGGACAGGAAAGGTGAACGAGGGAGTACTGCCTGTACTGAGCAAAACTACAGAAGGTAATTAATTTGTGTTGAAGTTTCCTATTTGTAGGTTGTACTATTCCAAGAACTTCTGTCCATGTTCGATTGTTGTCCTACAAAACTTCCACAGTGAGAATTCAAACTAATTATTTGTTCCACTAGCCAACGTTGTACAAAGCTGAGACCTGCTACTTTTGCCAGATAATTATTGACTCAAAATATTTCTGAAATGCAATTAAATTCAATTGTTAAACAAGTCTTTTGAGGGCAACTCCTATAATATATCTCAAGAAGAAACCGTGACAAAGTTAAACAGGTATTTTAGAAAATAACACCCAACATACATGACTTCCTTATTCCAAATATGGAAAGGTACACCTTCCGGCTTGAGTGAAATCTAGTCCGTGACCTCCTTTGCGTTTAGGTGTCAAACTCTTGGTTAGCAGATCTTTCATCATATGAATCTTCATCATAATCTCAATAATTGACATCCATGAATATTTGAGGTTTAAATTAGATGTTCTATGCTTTCTTTCTACAAGTATTCACCGTGTTTTCATGTATTAAGGAATTAAACAGGAAGTTAAATACTCTTGCACTGAAATAATCCAAGTCAAAACTGTTTTTGTCATGAACGTACGTCAAACTCTGTCTCAAGGTTCGAGTTAGCTAAAAACTCGAAATGTGTTGCTGAACTTTTAAAGGAAACCAGCTTGTTCCTATCTCACACAATTTCTAAACAATCCAACTATAACCCGGTTGCTCAAACCTGCAGAACATAATCTCTGTGGACTTTCAGTAAGGTCAGATAGTAGGTTTCTCTTTACAGCCTGGCGAGTGTACACATATGGGTCACTTCCTACACAGTGAACTTTAAACAACCCATTTGAATGGCAGGGTAAACAAAGTCTCCACAACTCATTCATGCTCATAAAGCTCCGTTTCTGGTGTTATGACACAGTCTTGAGTAAACCAGTAGATGCTGCGGTGCCACCCTATGTGGGCGGCACCGACACGTCGCTGTTAGGAAGTGATACAATTACCACCGATGACTCACGGGCCTTCATGGCAGGCTAGTTGAACAATAAAGACTGATCAAAGGAGGCTTAAGATCCACCACTTTACTCATGTACTCATGACTCATTGAAAGGCCAACTGAAGAATTACAGGCTTAAATAAAATCTCTGCTGCCATCATTTAACATGTGAGTCATTAAGAGTTCACCGTTGTGTTTTTGTTTTAAAGGAACATGTACTGAAAGTGATTTATTTTCTTAATGAGTTCACATATTGAGGCCAAAATTTCCCCCGAAGAGCGCTGACCTGCGGTCTTTGCCGAAGCGCCTCGTGTTGCTTCAGTCTGAGTCGCTCCTTCTCGATCTGCTGCAGCCTCATCTGGTTGTTTCCTCCCAGGACTCCGCCGTGAGTGCTGGAAGGTAGCTGGCCTCCCTGTTTCACTGGAGCACTCTGCGTGATCCTCTGCTGGTTCAGAGCTGCGAAAAGAAACACGCACAGTTCAAATCTGACACTCCTGCATGTGAATTGTTGACACGGTGTAATATAGAGAGCCCACATGTGAGACGCTGTGGAGGAAAACAAACGTGGCCTGTAACAATCTTATCAGGGACTAACTGTATGATTTTTATACAGATAAAACTGGTTCCTTTCAAAAACCAACTATAGTAAGACCAAGATAAGTTTTACAGTGTTGAAGTATCCACACTGGGAATACAATTAAAACTGAGCTATGCTGAAAAAATGATTAATTTCTCAAAAAACTGGACACATCGTTTGGAAGCTCTAACAAACATGTCGTTTTCAATAAAACTGATGTTCAATAATCCTTGTCAGATGTTGAACGACCAGAGCAGCAGCTCCAGAAGCACACTTTTCTTTCAAACTTGGCTGCATTCAAGCGATGACATAACAAGATGAACAACCTGACGCTTGTCAACAGGGCGAACTTGTACAAGAGGAGATCCAGTGCAGCAGGTTGTGTGGGATGAGAAGTCCCGGCAGAAGTTTTCTATCTGGAACAAGTATTCCTGTAAGACCTGATCCTCTCCCACACACTGACTAAGACAGGCTTTGTTGGTTTTTGTACATTGCATCAGTCGTGACTTCTCCTTTCATTATGCATTTTGTTTCTTTTCAAACAAGCAGCAGATTATCCCTCCAGACTGACTGCCTCCTTCTCTAGGCCGGACGGTTTTGCGTTAACTGATTGGAAAAAAAAGTGGTTTAGGCCAACATTGTGCAATGTAAACACCACTCTTACACATTTCTTGCACACAGCAAACATGAATGCATTGTGCATTTAGCAAGCTAAGTGCATGTGTTTGCATATTACATATAAACAGGTCTCTCTTGAAAATGAGTCCTTGTGACTCAATGAAACTACCTGGATAAATAAAGGTTAAAAAAAAAAAAAGCTGAGAAATCTTTGGCATTCTTAGTTGTTGTGGGGGTGGCTCCAAGTAAACAGCAGCACAACAGCACAACCCAACAGTTCGGTTCCGCAGGGAAACCTCGGATGTTCTGTGTCTGCCGGACCCGGTTCCTGAGGGCAGTCTGGGAGAGCAGTTGCCGCAGTCGTTATTATCATCATGCTGCTAACAAGACTTGCTAACGCTGCTAACTAGACCACGTCGCTAACAGAACCACACTGCTAACATGGTGCTAACAGTACCATGCTGCTAAAAGAACCTCACTGCTAACCAAGCCACACTGTTAACAGTACCATGGTGTTAACACAACCATAGTGCTAGCATTACCATGGTGCTAACACTACTATGGTGCTAACAGTACCATGGTGCTAACAGTACCATGCTGCTTAAAGAACCTCACTGCTAACAGAGCCACACCGTTAACTGTACCATGGTGCAAGCAATACCATGCTGCTAACACTATTATGGTGCTAACTGTGCCATGGTGCAAAAAGAACCTCACTGCTAACCGAGCCACACTGTTAACAGTACCAAGGTGTTAACACTACCATGGTGCTAGCATTACCATGCTGCTAACACTACCATGGTGCTAACAGTACCATGGTGCTAACAGTGCCATGCGGCTGACACCACCATGGTGCTAACAGTACCATGCTGCTAACACTACCATGGTGCTAATAGTACCATGCTGCTAAGAGAACCTCACTGCTAACAGAACCACTCTGCTAATAGGACTATGCTGCTAACATAACCACACTGCTAACAGTACCATGGTGCTAACAGTACCATGCTGCTAACACTACTATGGTACTAACAGTACCATGATGCTAACACTACCATGATGCTAACAGTACTATGATGCTAACAGTACCATGGTGCTAACAGTACCATGGTGCTAACACTACCATTATGTTAACAGTGCCATGCTGCTAACACTACCATGGTGCTAACAGTGCCATGCTGCTAACACCACCACCATGGTGCTACCAGTACCATGCTGCTAAGAGAACCTCACTACTAACAGAACCGCTCTGCTAACAGAACCACTCTGCTAATAGGACTATGCTGCTAACATAACCACACTGCTAACAGTACCATGGTGCTAACATGACCACACTGCTAACACTACCATGGTGCTAACACTACCATGGTGCTAACACTACCATGGTGCTAACAGTATCATGCAGCTAACACTACCATGGTGCTAACACTACTGAGACACACTGCTAACAGTACCATGCAGCTAACACTACCATGGTGCCAACACTACTGAGACACACTGCTAACAGTACCATGCAGCTAATACTACCATTGGGCTAATTTTTCAGTCTTTCGCTCTCCTTAGATGGAATTAATCTATCCTCCAGCTGTAATGTTAAAAATCTTGGTGTTATTTTTGATCAGGACATGTCTTTTATCCCCACATTAAAAATGTTACTAGAACTGCCTTCTTCCACCTGCGTAATATCGCTAAAATTAGAAACATCAATATCTAAAAATGATGCAGAAAAACTGGTCCACGCATTTGTCACATCTAGACTGGACTATTGCAATGGTTTATTATCTGGGTGTCCAAATACTTCCTTAAAATGTCTTCAGTTGATCCAAAATGCTGCTGCCAGAGTCTTAACTGGAGTTAGTAGGAGAGATCATATTTCTCCAGTTTTAGTTTCTCTCCATTGGCTCCCTGTCAAGTCCAGAATAGAATTCAAAATCTTACTTCTAACCTACAAAGCTCTCAACAACCTAGCTCCATTTTTTTACAGATCTTGTTGTTCTCTATTTTCCTAACACAGCACTTCGCTCTCAGACTGCAGGTTTACTTGTGGTTCCTAGAATTTACAAAAACAGAATGGGAGGCAGATCTTTCAGTTATCAGGCTCCTCTCTTGTGGAACCAACTTCCAGTTTCTGTCCGTGTTGCTGTTGTTGTTGTCCATTGTTGTCATCACTCTTTGTTAAAATTCAGGTCTCTCTTGCAAATGAGTCCCTGAGGCTCAATGGGATTAACCTGTATAAATAAAGGTTGAATGAAAAGAGAACCTCATTGCCAACAAAAACACTCTGCTAATAGGACCATGCTGCTGTAGATGTATTTCACTTTTGGTACCTTGTTTTTGTATTTCTTGTCGTTTTATTGATATATTTCTTTAATTGGCGATGGTTCTTCTTGTCCTGAGCATTTCATTGCATTGTTGACCTTGTGCTCATCTGCATATGACAAATGAACCAAACCTAACCACATGTTTGCATGTGAAGATCACATGCTTCTATGAGTACATTAAAGAAAGAAGAGCTGAAGTAACAGAAGCAACATGTTTTGCTTGAACCAAAACAAAGCTGTAACAGCAGCACATTTGATTTTGATGCAGGGCTGCATCTCACTGCCCTGCCCACTCCGCCACCTCATCACCATTCAATCAATCACCGTCTGTTTACACTCCTACCGGAGCTGAATAAGTCGTGGCTCGGGGCTCTCCCTGGGAAGCTCTGGCAGTCCCACCCTGCCCTCCCCCATCCCCCCATTGCCTCCTAACAACTACCACACCCCAGCACATGCCCACAGACACACACAGCTTCCTCCGATATCTCGGAGTTTGTTTCTTCTCACTGCTTCTTATCTTTTTGCAGATAGAGAGGCCTTCTGAGGCTGGATGTCCCTGGCATCAGGGCACCATTAACTGCTCTGTTGATGGAGTTCCTGCACATGGGCCTTGTCAACAGCTGTGGATCTGTTAAGACCCCAACTTTGAGGAGGAGCTGTAATAAACTGATTACAAAAATAAATAAATAAAGCTGAAGAAATGCTGCATTTACTAACATGCTTTAACAGTAATTACTCCAATTCTTATTTATTAACAAGTACTCCTTGCAAAAAAAAAATGTCCTAGATTATATTAAATGGTGCAGTTTGAAACGGTTCACTCCAGGAGTTAAGCAGATCTGTCGATATGCAATTCTGAAATGCAGGTACGCAATCAATATAAACGAGACATATGGCTGAATCCAAAAGCCACATGGAACGTCATGTCCCATCACTGGCCTACATATTCTGCCTGTAGTCTGTGGAAATAAACCATTATGGATGGATCAGAAAAGCGTAGAATCTCTGCAAAAACGTTTAAGATGAAAACAGAGGGAACCTGCAGCGAAACACACACGAACAAAAAAAAAAAAACAGGCAAACAGTGGAGCCTCATAAAGACAGAACCTGGCATTCCGAAAACACACACAGCTTTTCCCAAACCTTTGTTAGACTGATAGGTTTACCATCTCAACATTTGTTTTACTCTAGTAACACTCAACCATTTATATCTTACATGTGTATTAATCTACAGTACATGACATTTAGCTAAATTGCCCGTGTTTTACGATCCAAAAAGACTCTTCCAATGTCATCGCCTTGAACAGACACAAACTTCATCCATCCATTATCTTTACCCACTTTTTCCTTTTTGGGTTATGGGGTTCACTGGTGCCCATATCCAGCAGCCACTGTGCGACAGGCGGGGGTCACCCTGGACTGGTCTCCAGTCCATCACAGGGACACAGAGACAAACGAGACAAACAACCATTCACTCTCTCACTCTCACCTATGGACAATTTTGAGTTGCCAATTAGACTAAAGCCCTTTTCGCACGGGAATAGTTGTGCCTAGGGACCACATGCTATTTGTAATAATTACGGAGATTGTCTGTGTTGTTAATCTCATGTGAATCGGCCATGTCAGTAATTTGTAAAGTAAAAACTCCCCCCGCAAATTACTATATTTTGCTGAACTCCGAGATCCTGTGATAATACTAATCCAATGTGAATAGGCATCTCTGTGATTTGGACAGAAATGGGCAGGATCCGATACATAATTAGGCAGTTTTTGATTTTGTTTAAGCAAAATCATTTGGAAAAATATAGAACAAGGCTATTTCAAATTAACGCGCTGCTCGCTTAGGCTTTTATGCTGCTACTTCTTTCACCACAGAGGACAGCAGGTGCAGAGACGCGCGCGTGTGATCAGCTGACATCCATCCATTTTATTTACCCGCTTCT